TGGACAGGTTTTATGTTCTTACTCCACATTTGAGACCATGCAGGTTAGTTCCAAAAACAGTGGAGCATTGCTGGCATATTGACATTTATAGGCTACATTAGACACTACAATTGTCCCTACTGCTGCTCAGCTTTACTCAGAGAATGTCTATCAACTGTGCATCAGTTCCAGACATGACCAACTGGGAGGAGAGCGGAGTGTTACACTTAAGAACCAGGTACACTTGTAAAAGCACATTTTTACACAATAAAACAGCTCATTGTTCTCCTGTGACAGCAGATACTCACTCTCCGGTATAGCCCTTGGAGGTGGAGTGGAAGGAGGCCAGCTCCACATTGTTGAAGTACTCAGGGCCCATCTCATAGAGGACCTTCTTAAAGGAGTGGAACTGACAGTCTGAGGAGTAAACGTTGTCCTGATAAACCTGTAAAAATAGCAGCCATGTTGTCACAAACTGCTCTGTTCACAGACACATTCAGTCTGTGCAGCCACTGTAGCCTGTAGTTGTAATTATGGATATGACAATTTGAGATTTTGAGATTGTGGTACTACAGATTATGTGCTGCTTATGTTACCTCGTCAGCCATGACAAACAGATTCTCCTCATAGGCGAAGTGGAGCACCTCCTCTATACACTTCTTACTCTGCACCTGACCTGAGAACAGAGCGGGGTAACACAGATAACTATTATTAAGACAGGAAGTAAGCAGATATGCAACTTTGAATTTAACAAATTTAAGTTGTGTGTGTTAAGCAAATGAATATTCTTTTATGGTCCCATTTTACATCTGCTTACATTTAAGGAAGGAGTCTGTTAAGCCTTTGAGCGAACAGCTTCTCTCAGACCCATTCAAGTGTGCACTTCCATACACATCACTGATAAATCAGGCAATTACACTGCCCTCAAAGTAGGCCCAGTACAGTGCTTGTTTTTGCCGCTCAGATTGTTATTCTAAAATTATGAAAGAGTAGGATCATTTTTCTTTAACCACAATCAGCCATAATATTGCTACCGCTCAGCACCAGAATCCATAGACAAAAACAGTGATTTAACCTCACAGATAATCGTGAAACACACGTCATTTTAACTTGGCAAAACAGTCTTTGTTAGTCTTTTGGTTGAAATAAATCCTTCATTCACTGGAGTCTTCACAGTAAGACGATAAATACAGCAGTTTCATTCGCTCTACTCAAAGCACACAGAGAGACTCACATGCTGTGACATGCACATGCAGACAGGCTGGAGAAGAAAATGCTCGGAGATTAACACAGGCAAAGGCAGTGTCATTCTCTGCTCAGGACGTATATCTTTAAATAGCAGCAGTTGTTTGCTACTATAATAATGTCATAAATCCCATACGTATAACCTTTAAGTTTCAGCTTCACCACTCTTTCTATAGAGCCCTTTGTGTGTGCAGCTCACTGAACATAAACACAGTTGTGGCTCTCACCCTTCTTAACATGTTCCAATAAATAAAGAGTTACCAAGCTGCTCACTGTCTCAACCATGAATATCAATAATATCGTACCGGTGGGGTTTCCAGGGTTGATGATGCAGAGGACTCTGGGCTGGCAGTGCTCCTTGGCCGTCAGGTAAGCTCGCTGCAGTTCCTCAATATCTAGCGCCCAGCAATTGGCCTCATCCAGGTAGTAGTTAATGCGCACTGCCTCTAACTCTGAGATGGCTGCAGAGTACAGCGGGTACTGAGGGATGGGGATCATCACACCTGTCCTGGAGCGGCCCTGACCCGATACTAGCAGCTTCAGGATGCTCTAGAAACAAAAGAGATGACTCAGGTTATTCATTTGTTTGCAACAGCTGCTCCCCGCTATCAGACCTACATAGTGCTGACCCAATCAGAACTATGTTACAGCTTTCTTTAACACTCCAAAAACTAAACTTGACTCCTAAAGAAGTCACACCAAGTCAATTCAGTACTGAAAATAGTAATTTTGTACTACAGTTTTATTCAAAAACGTGGCGCAAAGGTGAAGGGAGAGAATTCTGTGTTCTCCTCTTCTCTTCTCTGAAAGCACGATGCCTCGCCATTCCTGTTACACCCATGCACACCTCGGCAGCTGCGCAAGGAGACACTGCCTCTAACATTGTTGATTTTGTTAAGTCACCAAACATGATTCACCATTTCACTTTTGTTTTCACAAAACAAAACAAAAACCCACTAACACCTGGCTTTTGTCTTCAGTATGAAAGGCTACAATCAGCATTTATTCCCAGGTCAAACACCTCTGCTGTAGTCACAGGTATTTACCAGCTGCAGCTCTGATCAGCAGGGATAGAAACTTGACACCCAGGTGGACATTTTAGCCCATTTTCTGGTGCGATGCTGACGCACACTACATTATTTATTGTTTTTTACAGTCTATGGGAACAACGTGCATCAGCGATTTGGTTCTTAGTACCGTGCAAGCTGCAACACTGGCCAGAGACAGCGAGGTGAGAGCTTCTCCTGATTCAGGGGAAGAGGAAATGAGGAGACAGGTCACTGGCGCTTTCTCCACCACTGAGGAGATGGGTCTGGCAATGCGAGAGACGGACAGAGCAATATACAACAACATACAGAAAATGCTGAGTGAAAGAGCTCACAGCCCAACGCAGGTAACAAATGCTGGGTGCTCTGATGGCTCGCCTGGTGGAGCGGAGTTCTTGCCGCAGAAACCATGGGTTTAAGTCCAACCCTTTGCTATGTGTCATCCCCTCTCTGTATCTTGAGCTGTCCTAATAATATACACATCATTTTGGTGTAAAAAGGGCATACCATGATGCCATCACTGGCGCCTGTGGTGAGGTAGATGTTGTTCCAGTCAGAGGGTACGCCCTGGTCTCTGTGTGTTATGTAGTCAGCGATGTCCTTGCGGACACACTCCACTCCCTGGCTGGCACTGTACGAGCCTGAGTCCAAAACACAAAAACATGCAGAATGCACCTTTAACATACAATAATAAAAAAGAAACACACATTTTGTAAATCACAAAGCAGATATTATTCAATGTTTTATATAGATTGGAGAAGTGTACTGTGGAGTAATGAATGTCCCTGCTGAGTAGCACTGTGCTGCTTGTGGCTGGTAAGTATTGCTAGACAGTGTCACTACAGGTTGGACATTGCTGACTCATATTAAATGAACCCACACAGCAAACACCTGGTTGTAGATATTCTTTGCTGTATTTAAGTGCTAGGTAGCACCCTGTATAAAGGAATGAATGTATGTAACAGAGCAGTGGAGCAGTGGTTCAGGATGGGACCCCCACGGGGATCGGAAGATGATTTGCGGGGTCGCCAAATGGTTGAGGAGAGTAAAATAAAACAATATATTTACTTTTTATTTACTACTTTTTATCTACTTTTGTTGAATTACTTTCAACACAAGCAACCAATATACTCTGTTTTATACAAGTCAACAGGCCCAGTTACCTCGAGAGCATGTATTTATATTGTTCTTTTAGGCCTAAAGCAGACATGTTGGCTGTTGGCTGTGAAAGTGGTATTATTTTAAAAATGTAAAAACATTAAAGCATCACTAAAGCCAAAATTGAGTTAGTTGTTTTTCTATTTGTACACACACACACACACACACACACACACACATATATAATGAGATCTGATCTGGTCTGATAAATGAAGGCAGCATAGAAGTGCTAATGCTGCTATATAAACGTACATAAGCAAACTAACCATCTGAATCGATGAAACAATGCGGTAGGAACAATATTGCTTTTGTCCACAGGGGGCGCCAGAATCAACACATAATCAAAAGGTCCTTCTTGCTGCTTCTTGCTCAGGCCAATACAAAACTTGGGTCTCGTCGGGTTTGTGTGTCTGCTCTTGACCAAAGATCATGTGTGATCTCGAGTGTTTCTGTAGTCCAACAACGCATGTCTTTTTGAGTTGGTAAGTCTAAAACAATTTAGCTGATCAGGTTATGTCAGTTTCACAGCACCTCTTGGTAAATACACCTCTGTGTACTCTGGTGTGCCAACTGCCACTCCTCTCATTCGCACCGTCTAGCTCACAGTGACTAGAACATACACAGACCTAAGCTGTGTCCTCCGCAGTCCTGTAGGATGCGCTGGGCTCGTTGCTTGGCATCATCAGGGAAAGCCGGACTGTCCAACAGCTCTGGGAAACAGCACAGAGCCACCACCTGCAGACAGGCAGAGTGAAAACAATCTACCTGTTTCTACCTATATCCCCCAAAGAAAAAAGGATCATGAAATGTATACATCTCTTAATTCTGATTACTGTGAATCAGTGGTTTTCAACCTTTTTAATGTCAAGGACCCACAAATTGATACACATCAGGCCGTTATATTTGATTAGAGACACTCAGGGATCAAGATTGAGTTATTGCATAACTGTCTGTACTGTAGATTGGCAGATTAACAGTGAAGAAAACTTACTAAACAGTATTTCTCATATATATACACATATATATATTCTCTCATTTTTAGCCACTTAAATAATAGTGAAATTAAAATATTCCCCATTTGCTTGGGGAACCCGCTCAAGGACCCCTGGTGGAGAACCGCTAACCGCTGTGAATGACTCCAGGTACAGCAGGTCTGTTGAGTCTTACTTCAGTCCCCCCCCCTCACCTGACGGACGAAGGTGATTGGCTGCTGGCCCATGGCGTGGGCATCACCAATGTTGGCTTTGATGACCTCAGTGAAAGGCTGTTTCACTCCCTACAGAGGCAAGATAAAGAAGATCATCATAATACAGTTCATTTGAGGATTTTGATACAAAGGTTAAAAACATCCTGTGTTGACACATATTGATAAAGTGATTTTTATTGTACCTTTGGAAAACATAATGTAGAAACAATATCTCACCCTCTTTAGTCCACTTATATATTTGGACACTTTCTTCTCTGAAGCCTCTGAATGTTTTTATTCGTGGTTTGTAAAGTCCTTTCCCCCTTTTAAATGTTACATGATTACTTTTTAATGTTTCTTCTTTCTTTCTTCTTTTTATGTCACGTAGTTGAATTTCGATGTGTATGTGCTGCTGTTGTTAACCTGTGACTGTGGACAGGGCAGTCGAAGTACTTAAACCACTGATCAAACCCGGTTTTATTTATCTGTGAACAGCACCCAGCAGGGCCTGCAGGTTGAGACACAGAGGATGATGCAACCTTCATCTCCGCATTAACGTTAATATATTTCACCCTCGTCTTCGCGTTTTATTGAATACGAAATAAAGCGTTCAACAGTGAATGTTATCGCCATTACCTCCTTCCACCATCACACTGAGGATGCGGCACTGAGCGGAAGCCTTTTTACTAAGTTAGCTAACTTAACAGCGTATATATATGTTTTCTGTAAACACAAACAAATAAACAATGTGTGTGTAAACAGTGTGGTAGCTGTTGTAACCCACTGACCTGCTGTAGCCCCCTCTCTATATCTCCCGCCTTAATAACGATGGGTCCTCTCACGGCGTACTCCACCGCCTTCACCTGCGGGTTTAGGGTCGCCATGGTCAGGGTCTTCTCCCGCATCCTGGCCGGGTCGCTCGTCTCCACGGTGGCCTCTGCCGTGCTGAACCGTTTCAGTCCGTACTGCTCCGTAGGGCCCTGCGTCTTAAACCGAGCATGCTGCCATACATGTGAATACAGCGACGTCGACCGGAGGGGAACCGGCGCAGACCGATGTAATATAAAGTGCTGGAGGCGATGCATGTTTCCTCAGAGCCGGGCTCGACGGTTCGTCAATCAAAGACTATTGGTTCGTATTGGTTCGTATTGGTTAGTATTGGCAGTCTATCGGTTGTACGGCCATTATACCGCGAGTGAAGCGGAGATAAATATAACGTGTTCCGCTGACTCACCGCCCTCTCCTCTCTGGCATCAAATCACACCGTATCAGTTTATACGCTGGTCCTCCTTTTTTTTCAGGAAACCTTTATTGACAAAGCTCTTCAAAGCAAATGCATCCCCCATATACAGCAGTGTAATGTAAAGTAAATGTAAAACAACAAAGGCATGAAAACAAATTAAATAAATCTACTGCGTTGATAATGACAGCTTTTTATTTGCTTAAAGTGATCGGAATAGATAACAATAATATATTATATTTGTTATATAACACATTATTTTATTTGTAATGTTTTTATTCCTGTTTATTTGTTCTTACTCATTCTATAGTTGTATTACTTCTGTGCTCATGTTCCTTATTTTCATTTTATC